GCTGATGACTGATTGCCTTATCTGAGTCAACTTGCACCATTGTGGGAGTTATCAGGAGGGGAGAACCTGGGGCCGGCCATGACACCTCATATATCGTTTTAGTGAAACGCTCCTGTCAATTAGGTGAAAATGAGAACTCAAGCCCATAACCATAAAAACCTACCTATTGAGACTGACCCCTGCTGGGCTTGGCATTCACTTGTGGTCTAACTGTTGCTGGCATAATGAACCATTCTCATTTCCAGATTAAGGTTTTTAATAGACTTCACCAACTAGTTGACTTAAGCAAGTGATGATGAGTGTGGCTGCTTGGCTGCTTTGGTTGGATCAAGGAAACTCCTGGGCTGTGTGGCTTGCTTGTGATCCCAGGTAGCATCCAGCTCTGGAAAGACTCTATGAGCTGTGATTTTTCAGCCTGGTTTTCTGAGACTTACCAAAGAATTTGGAGCAGTCATGCTATTGGGATGGTTATGCTTGATTTTTGTCATCCGCGTTGAATTTATTGGGCCACCTGGTGTTTACACAACACTTTACTAAGTGCTAGAGAAGGGAGATTGGTGTAGGTTAATAGTTCCCAATGTTCTGAACATGAGCTCTCCTTTTAATGTTGTATTTTCTCAATCAGTTGCTAATATGTGTCTAAAATGGCAAAAAGCACCTATATATTTAATACATTTAGAAGATTTGTATTTTTAAAAAACAATCTATATATAACAGTTAATATATGTAGGAGATATAGGGTATAATATTATCAGTCTCTAGAAATGATGTACTTTGGAACTGATTCTTATATCCCTTTCAGTAAACTCATGGCTCCAAAGTTTTTGAGTTGGAAAATACTGATGTAAGTCCATAGATGGAATGTATTATAATGGAGTATTTAATATAATTGGTGTTTGTTGGATTTTTAACTTCTAAAATCACAGTTTGGGACTATTTCATTGTTATTTAATCCAGAGCCAAATAGTACATTAGTCCAATTTCACAGTCTTGATGTTAGCTGAAGAAAAATGATTCTAGTTAAGCTTAAATAGATTATCTTTTCTCTCTTTCTTATTCTCTTTTCTTTCTACTGGCAATCATGTCTATTTTGGTTTGCTTTATGTCCTGATCATAACATTTTTGTACTGTTACGTATTTTGCTTGGAGTTTTCACTTGTCTTTTATTTGTGATGGTTGAGATTAAAAATATGTCTTCTTTAGAATATCACAAATGTCTCCTTGCTTCTTATCTATTCTGTCTATTGCCCAGAATCCAATGCATTCTTATTCTGGATGAACTTATGTTTCTGAAGCCTATAGTTTCTGTTGTAATAAAAACTTTCTAAATCCGATAAGTATCTGTCATTTGGGAATTTCGTTCATTGGAGTCCTGGATTATTTTCATTGTCTTTCAGCATATATTTTCTTTTCATTTTAACCCTCATTGGGCTGGAATATGGCTTCAACAAGCTTCTGAAGAATGACTCCATGGGAGGTGAATTCTTTCACAGTGTGATTGGGTATTAAGTTTTAGCTTCAAAATATTTTTCCCTAAGAATATTGATAGCATTGCTTCTTTGTTTTTAAAGATTTTATTTTTAAGTAATCTCTACACCCAACATAGGACTCAAACTCATAACCCTGAGATCAAGAGTCACATGCTTTAGTTTCATTCTTCTGCATGTTGCTGTCCAGTTCTCCCAACACCATCTGTTAAAAAGGCTGTCTTTTTTCCATTGGATATTCTTTCCTGCTTTGTCAAAGATCAGTTGGCTGTATACTTTTGGGTCCACTTCTGAGTTCTCAATTCTGTTCCATTGGTCTATGTGTCTGTTTTTGTGCCAATACCATACTGTCTTGAGGATGACAGCTTTGTAGTAGAGGCTGAAGTCTGGGATGGTGATACCTCCCGTTTTGAAGATGTGGTTTATCTATACCATGGAATACTACATGGCAATGAGAAACAATGAAATCTGGCCATGTGTAGCAACATGGATGGACCTTGAGGGTGTTATGCTGAGCGAAATAAGTCAGGCAGAGAAGGACAAATATCATATGTTTGCACGTATAGGAGGATTAGGAGGAACTTGACGGAGGAACAAGGGGGAGAAGAAGGGCGGAAATGGTGGGGGAAAGGGAGAGAGGCAAACCATGAGAGACTCTTGAATGCTGACAAAAACTGAGGACTGATGGATGTGGGGGGGAGGGGGGATGGGCATGGAGGAGGGCACTTTGGGGATGAGCACTGAGTGTTATGTAGAAACTAATTTGACAATAAACTATTTGTAAAAAAATAAAAAAAAAAAAAAGAGTCACATGCTTTACTGGCTGAGTCAGACAGGTGCCCCTGTTTTCTAATGTTTTTAATGAGATTTGTGTTATCAGCCTAACTCTAGTCCTTTGAGTATAGAGTTGCTAGGTAAAATATAAAACTCCAGATAAATTTAAATTTAAAATAATCAACAAAAAACTTTTAGTATAAGTATGTCTCATGCAATATGAAATATTTTAAGCATACTTATACTAAGAAATTATCTGTTGTTTATCTGAAATTAAAAACTAATTGTGTGTGTCATATTTTTGTTAACTAAATCTGGCAACCCTCTTTGAAGGTCAAGCACCTTTTCCTCTCTAAATGACTTTAAGATCATCTACTTCTTACTCTTTGTGTTTTGAAATTTCCTAAGGACTTGTGTAAATGTGGCATTTATTTAATTATTATTATTATTATTATTATATCCATGCTGCTCAGAACTTGTTGAATCTTACAACACTTTTAGCTCTGGAAATTTTTCTTTTATTATTTCTTTAATAATTTTCTTCCTTCCATTTCTCTGTCATTGAGACTTCTAATTGACTTGATGTTTGAGCCTCCTCAATTAAGTCTTTTTGTCTCTAATCTTTTTACCTCTGTTTTCCATATCTGTCTTTTTGCTCATGTCCTGACAAATTTACTCAAAGTCTTATTCCAAAGTTTGGTAATCAAAACTTTAATTTATAGCTGGGATTCCTGGGTGGCTCAGTCAGTTAAATGTCCAGCTTTGGCTCAGGTCATGATCTCCTGGTTCGTGAGTTCAAGCCCCATATTGAGCCCTGTGCAAACAGCTCAGAGCTTGGAGCCTGCTTCAGATTCTGTGTCTCCCTCTCTCTCTGCCCTTCCCCACCTCAAAAATAAATAAACATTAAAATTTTTTTAACTTTAATTTCTAGGATGTCTTTGTTTTTCTTTGAATTATCACTTTCTTGGCATCTTCTTTGATTTATGGATGCACCAGTTCACATATCTCTCCAAAGATATGTGAATTTTCTGTTTAGTTTTGGTTCAAATTCTCATTCATTTCTTGAGTTATTTCTATTTCCTTTGGGGTCATTTCTGATCGTTTATCTCTCTTTTTCTTTCAGACTGCCATTTTACCCCAATGTGTTTGGAAATCATTGTTTATCCACAGTTAGGAATAAAGAACAGGGTCAATGATTCTAGGTAATGGAGAAGGTTTCTTCTGGTATGTATGTCTCCCTTGAATAGAAAAGATGACAAGTAGGTAGATCTTACCAAAGCCTCATCTGTGTGAGTGAATGTGATGCTTAGAGTCTTTTCTATGATAAAATATGTGGTATTCCAGGGTCCTTCCTAATGCTCACTGGTTTAGGTCTACTTAGGCCATTAATGTTTTTGGTTTTGTTTTTTCGGGGGGTTTGGTTTTTTTTTTAAGAGAAGATCCTTCCTTAACCAGGATTATAGCTGTGCTGCCAGTTGCTTTTGGGAGGGTGCATTTATCTTTTCACTGGTTGGCTTGTGTATAGATTTTTGATTAACTCTTATTTCCTTTTGCAACCCATCTGAGGCTGCAAACTTTTTGGCTTTGTTCCATCTGCTTTTTTGTCTTCCAGACATTTGTTAAAATCATGAATCCACCGGTGGCCCCTCCTCTCATTTTCTTCACTGTTATGTGTTGAGTTTATTAAAACAATTTGGGGAAAATATGGGGACAGAGGAGAGACAAATGCATTCAGCCTACAATCTTGAACCAGAAATTCCTTCTTTTCATCCATTTAATCTCTACCATTTCCTCCTGAATGTCCTCTAATGAGACTGTTTTATTCTCAAAGAGGTGTATTTTCATCTACAAAAATCACTTAAATGTATACACATTTATCTCTCAGAAATTAGAACATATGGTTTTCAAAAAAAGTCTTAAAATAATGCCTCATATGGTGTATAAAATAATGAAGTGACATATTATATGTGAATGTGCCTAGCACACTGCCTGCTGCAGAATAGTTGCTCAATAAATATTACATATTTTTTTATTATTTTATTTTCAGAAGATAGAGCTTAAGCACATTTTTGGTAATGTTGGTACATAGAGATATTTCAGTATGAGTTGATTAAAAGAGAGGTGAAAACACAGCTACCTCAAATGTACTTTGTGATTAGAAGTAAGGATTAACAATTAATTCTCATAAAACACTTGGAGCTCAAAGATACAACTCACCGTGAGACTTGGGACATTCTTTCTTTTTTTAGTGTATTTATTTATTTTGAGAGAGAGAGCATGGGAGGGAAAAAGAGGGAGAGGGAGAATCCCAAGCAATCTCCATGCTCAGCAAGGAGCCCATAGTGGGGTTTAAGCCCACGAATCATGAGATCATGACCTGAGCCAAAATCAAGACTTGGATGCTTAACTGACTGAGCCACCCAGGCTCCCGTGTGACATTCTTTATCCTACTAAACTTTCAAAAATACAGTAATAAGCTAAAGTTTCATTGAACTATAGGGTTATTAAGTCATGAAAATGCCACTATGCATGAGATACCTAAAGATAAGAAGGGTTAAGAAGTTTTCTCAAGGTTACATATGGAGTCAGTCACTGAGCCAGAACTCAAACCCAGATCTTCTGACTTCCCTTTCCATCATGTCACAAATCTGCAGGCTTCTGAGAAGCAATTCAATGTATGATAAGATTGAATTTGTTCTGTCATATACATATTAATAAATATTAATATTTCATTTGCAGTGAAACTGTATGCTTTAACAAGTCAAGTCATCAATGGTGAGATGCAGTTCTATGCCAGAGCTAAGCTTTTCTATCAAGAAGTACCAGCTACAGAAGAGGGTATGATGGGAAATTTCATTGAACTGTCCATCCCAGATATCCAGGCTTCTCGGGAATTTCTCAGGAAATTTGTTGGGGTGAGTTATCCAACTGCAACTTGATGAGGAAGCAAAGTCCTTGCAAACATTGAGCTCACGTGCTTCTGTGTGGTCATTTAAGTCATATTAAAGCCATATGGCTCAGCCAAGAGTTTAGCCTGAAAGCCTCTTTTAAGATGTTCAGAAAGGATGGGTCGCATCAAACCACTGGTTTATCCCACTTGGCCTTTCACCATCCTAGTATCAGCTAGTCTCTCATGCTTCAGGAGAAGGTGCACTAGCAGTGCTGATATTACAATTTGGATTTTAAGAAGACATCTCTTTTACAGTCTTATAGATGAAACAGTTCACACCCAGATGACTGATGAGAGATCATGCCATTTGGGACCTTGGGGCAATTTATTGATTTCCTGCAATACAAATTCAATATAGTAAGGAAATGCATGCCTATGCTTGGTTTCAAAATGAGAAGTACAGCAGAATTTTTTTATATTATTTAATATGTAGTTCAGACTTTGCCTTGAAAGAATGTGATCTCTTTGTAGCTCTGGTGTTGGGTGAAACTGCTTCTTTACTTCCCTGTCAGATGGAGACAAGACAGTATAGTGTAGGGGCCATAATCTTCAGCTCTGTAGTCATTAGGTTCTTCTATTTAATATATAAGCAATCTTATATATTGTTCCTTATATGTATATTGTAATTGTTCCTTAAATGCTGTGAGCTTCGGTTTTCTCACCTGTGACTAGGGCATAACCATCGAACCTACCTCATAGGATAATGTCAAGATCCAATAGGTTAATGTGTATTAAGTGTTGCTTTGTTATGCATAATTATTACCCAATAAATATAATTTATTGCTACTACTATAATAACAGGCTTCAGGGGTGTGTAGGTGGCTCAGTCAGTTAAGCTTCTGACTTTGGCTCAGGTCTTGATCTCGCAGTTTGTGAGTTTGAGCCCCATGTCAGGCTCTGTGCTGATTGCTCAGAGCCTGGACCCTGCTTCAGATTCTGTGTCTCCCTCTCTCTCTACCTCTCCCCTCCTCACACTCTGTCTCTCTCTGTCTCTCAAGTATAAATAAAAATTTTAAAAATTAATAACAGGCTTTCATAAAATGCATTCATTAGTTTCAGGAACTTGACTTAGTTGCTAGAATAGACTTAATAAAGCTGCCGACACCACAAAGCTGCTGTCCTACTGAAGACAAAGTCCTAATTGGCAAACGGGTTTCATTCCAATTCATTTGGAAGTTGTCTGTTTGAAATTTGGAGCCCATTTTATCCTGATAAGGGAAGCATTATAATATTATAAATATTTGAGTTAGGTTTTCAAGCACACTATCACAATTATGCCTAGTGTTGAGGTGAGGTTCAGTTCACATCCAACCTCCCGGAACACCGAGTGTCCAAGTGGAGAAATTAGATTAGGATGCAGCACCCATTGGAGCAGATGTATCCGAACACCAGCCATGGCCACGAAGGCCTATGAAGCTGGAGATGATGGCCATGGATGTTTATAGGTCAGGATAACCTGGAGTATTTCTAAATCACCATCGCTGACTGATTTCATGGGGTGCTTTTTCTGAGATAGCCCCTCTACTAAGCATTTAGAAGGGTTGTCTTGATTACCTTTCAAAAGAATTTTGGAAGGTAAGTACTATTATTCTCTGTATATTTTACAGTTGTGGAAACTGATGTTTGGAGACATTAAATAAGTCGTCAAGGTCATGCAGCGGGTAAGAGACAGAGCTGGTACGGAAGCCCAGCCAGGTCTGTCTGACACCAGATGCTCTACTCTTAACCACGACATATTTTTTCCATTTGTCTCATGAAGCAGAAAAATCCTTGCTCTCTCTCTCTCTCTCTCTCTCTGTGCATGTGTGAGTGTGAGTGTGTGTGTGTGTGTGTGTGTGTGTATACCACAGACCTCACTTCTCCTCCAGTCTGGCCGAAAGCTCTCCCTTCTGCTTGCCTCGTGGTGAGGCTGACTTTGATCCCAGTGCATTTCAGAAGCTTAGTTACTAATCCAGCTGTCTTGTCACTCCATGCGGAGGGCCAAGCTGACCACAGGGATACTGGTCAGACAGAGCCCATACACACACCCATGGACCTGGAAAAGGAAGCAGCCTTGTGCTTGCATATTTATGTTGGAAAAGAGGAGCCTGCTCTTTTCAAACAAATATAAGGAGTCCTTCTTAGGAGACAAGGCTCATTGTGGAACCGTGACCTCTAAGTATAAATAGTCTTTTTAAAGAAATGATATTTTTGTATTTTGACCTCAATAATCTGCTAAATTAGTATCCAGGTCAAGATACAAGGAGTTATGGAATATGAGTATCTGACATGATTTATCCTTATGTCAACTTGGAAAAGGCAGATTGTTTAATTTAAAGTTTTGCTTTCCTTTCAACACTAAGTGACACGGGATAGAGAGAAAAGGTGTTTGAACTTGCTGCATTTATGTTTACTTTAGCAAATAAACAAGTGATACCAAGGTGATTTCAATGGTACGGTCCTCAGTTTTAGCTTTCTATTGTGGGGGGAAGTGTCAATTTCTAAAAAGTAATCAGTATTTGATGGTATTTATCTATTGACATTTCTCAGAAATTGGATGATTAAAAACTCTGGGCCTAATTTGTTATATTTCATGGTTTTACAGTGGCATTCAGCACTTCTTTTTAAGTTTTAAACCCCACTGGATGAACTTAGAATGATGTCCTTCAAAAATATATATATAGGCAGGATCAAAACTAACAACATATTCCCAAGAATATTTTACTATTTTATATGAATCCATAAGTATGAAGACAACACCATAAATGACAATGAAAATAACAAAACGTCTTTTTTTGAAACCACACCTCGTACATAGGTTCTGTCACATTCATGACAGGACATCAGATTTCAATAAGGGCAGCCATGATGTCTAGGAGGCAGGTGATGTCCCTGAGATTAGTCTTTAAAGCCCCTTCCCATCCGAGCTGCATGTGACTCACAGACAGAGAAAGAATATGGGAGGCAGTGGCAGCCATATGCCGTGGAATGGAATAAATATGACCAAGCAATAGTGGTGAGAGGTGAGCAGGACACAGAATTTGGGTGAAAGGTACCTTTCCAGATTTGTAAATGAACATTGTTTCAAAAGCAACTATAGTAAAATAACACACATCTAAATTGGTGAAAAATACAAATCAGAGGGTGAGAATGTTCAAGGGAATTCTATTTCAAACATTTCACCTCTCTGAGCCTCAGTTTCTTGGTGTGAAAAAGTAGGGACATTAGACATGAGTGCTTTAAGAACCCTAGGGTTTTGCTGAGATCCTTCAAGTTCTTATTGGGAGAATGACAGGAAGCGTGAGCAGTTGAGGCCCTGCCTCACTTTAATGAGGGCAACTTTCATGTTTATTTGTTCGTTGAAAAAAAGGAGGTCAGCTATTTTAATTTAAAATCCTCTGGCATAGGTGTCTGAGCCCTCTTTGCTTTATCCTTCTATTGTTCTTTTTTAAAAATGTTTATTTTGAGAGAGAGAGAAAGAGAGCAAGCAGGGAAGGGGCAGAGCGAGAGAGAGACACAGAATCCGAAGGAGGCTCTAGGCTCTGAGCTTTCAGCGCAGAGCACGAACTGTGAGATCATGACCTGAGCTGTAGTCACAGGCTTAACCGACTGAACCACCCAGGTGCCCTTACCCTTCTATTGTTCTAATTCTAAAGCCACTTGCTACAATAATGTGAACGACATGATCCGTAGAGACTTTAAGGCCAAGTAATGATAAGAAAAATCTGTAGTAATAATCTCTGAGTATACAAATTTCTACTAACATTTTCAGTAGCCTAAAATAATTTTTCTATACTCTCTCCATCTTGTTTATGGTGTGGATTTACTTAAAGGGTATTTTCTTTATGGTGCTCACAGCATAAGCCTTTAGCCTAGGTCTTTTTTTTTTCTGAATTAGTTTAGTTTATATGTCATAATATTTGAATGAGGGGGGTGGCGTAGGCTAAGTAGGAATGGCAAACACGTGGCATGGGTACCACCACCTCCCTTTCCCATACTCAAGGGAGACATCACTAGACAACCACAGAACTCTTTCCTGCTCAGTCTCAGTGAAGCCTTAGAATTTTTTTCAGGATAGCATTGGACAGCTACTACCAAGGGGATCAGAGTTGGTGCTTGAGGGCAGCTCTGAGGTAGAGCTGCCTTTGGATTCACACAGTTCCTTGTTCAAGTCCGAGGTCTGCCATTAGATGTAGAAACCAAAGTTTCCTCAGCTTCAAACTGGGGAGTAATCATTGTCTTGTGGAATTGTTTTGATGTTAGTTATTGCAGATGCAAAGAGCTTCTGTCTATAAGCACTTGATGAATCATGCTTCTTATGATTCCATTTGGAAAAAAGCCAAAATAGCTTCACTTTTTGTTCTTCTCTGTACCTTTATTGCTGTACAGAAGGCCTTTTGGGTGGACTAGGAAGCGGCACTTTTGATGTTTCCTTCCACTCAAACTTCACCTCTTGATCCTTAGACAAACCTTTTCTTAAATCCTTAGTTCCTGAGAAAACAAGAGTAGGCTTTCTCCTTAAGGTCTCGATTGGCAATCGAAGTCTCTTATTATTGTAATTTCTGGCACAAAAGCTATTTAGCAGTCATCCCAATTATGGACAAATAATTTAGACCAGATAATACAGAGAGACTGAACAATATATATCTCAGAGTTTCAGTGGTCATATATATGTGCATATGTGCACATGAATATATTACTTTATAGAAGTAAGTTTGAGAAAGTTTTCACTGGCTGATTTCCCTCTACCATCTATCTGTCCTTCACCTCCTTCACCTGTACAATTTAGTGTACAGACCTACTTTATTTTTATTATTTTTTAAAGTTTATTTTTATTTTCTTATTTTGAGAAGGGGGGGTGGAGGGTCAGAGAGAAAGGGAGAGAGAGAGAGAATCCCAAGCAGGCTCTGCACCATTAAAGTAGAACCCCAAATGGGGCTGGATCTCATGAACCATGAGATCATGACCTGAGCCAAGATAGAGAGTTGGATGCTCAACTGACTGAGCCACCCAGGCTCCCCCAGACCTACTTTATAAGAACAATTTTAGGAGGTTTTGTACACAGTAAATCATATAGTTTCTCTTACAAAGGCAGGAAACAATTTCTAGCATTAAAAGAGATAAGGAGACTTTCTGCAAACACCTTCTATCCATGTGAATGTGCTGTGAGGATTGTGGTGGGTTTGAAGTAAAATTCTGTCTGTAAGACTGTCCCTCTTCTCTTCTTTTCCCTCCCCTCCCCTCCCTACCTTCCTTCCTTTCCCTTCCCTCTCTTCCCTTCCCTTCCTTCCCTCCATTCCCTCCCCTCCCCTCCCCTCCCTTCCCTTCTCTCCTCTCCTCTTCTTTCTTTCTTTCCTTCTTTCTTTCTTTCTTTCTTTCTTTCTTTCTTTCTTTCTTTCTTTCTTTCTTTCTTTCTTCCTTTCTTCCTTTCTTCCTTTCTTCCTTTCTTCCTTTCTTCCTTTCTTCCTTTCTTCCTTTCTTCCTTTCTTCCTTTCTTCCTTCCTTCCTTCCTTCCTTCCTTCCTTCCTTCCTTCCTTCCTTCCTAACTTTCTTTCACAAAACAATAAACTACTGCACAGGTCTATTTAGCTGTGGGCTTGACCCAAATTTACAATTAATAAAATTTTACTTGATAGGGCTTTCAATGAACCCATTTCTAAGAGAAAATTACCAAGTTTTTAGACTTAAGACATTATTTTCTAAAATCTCACTTTGAAATTCTTTTAAAGACCTATATTTGGGTAAAACAAAGAAAGTGAAAACTAGCAATGTTGGATATTTTTTTTAAAAAGGTAATTGGATGTTCTATGCATTGATTGTAGTAGTGGGTACACACCTGTATGCATTGAATGGTACATTTAAAATAGTGCATTTTCTTATATGAAAATTGACATAAATAAAGTTGGCTTAAAGCAGTAACTGGAGTGTCCTAGACTCAGGGTGCATGTCTGTACTTGAAGCATCCCACAAGGTACCTTTCTGCAGGGTCCCGGGAGAGCTGGGACAGACTGTGCCTTGGATTGCGGCTCTGGAATAGGAAGGGTCAGCAAGCATGTCTTGTTGCCCGTATTCAACAGTGTGGAACTGGTGGACATGATGGAATCGTTCCTTGTCGAAGCCCAGAACTACCTGCAGGTCAGCGGGGACAAGGTAGAAAGCTACCACTGCTACAGTCTGCAGGAATTTACACCCTCACTGGGGAGATATGATGTCATCTGGATTCAGTGGGTCTCTGGTTAGTCCTGCATGGAATTGCATCTGCCTTTCTCCCCTTCCCAGAGAAGGAAGACAATACTTGGGACTAATTTGAGGATTTGTGGAGAGGGAGCAAGGACGTTAAGGGAGATCTAGTTGTAGTTGTGCCAAGAATAGTGAGCCAGCCTTAGGCATCATGGAGAAGCTCTTGTCCCCCCATGATCTCCCCTAATATCCTCTGCCACAAGCCTGAAAATTCCCATCCTTAGGGATGGAGTGCCTTTGGACCAACCTAACTCTGCAAAGAAAACCAAGTACTTGAAAAACTTTTCAAAGTGGGGTCAAAAAGTTTATCCTCATTTAGTGGCAAAAACTGGACTTTCTTGGATTTTAAATTCCCAGGAAATGAGAAAGCTGTGAGTTAGATACTGGTCTCAGTGGGTGTGTCTAGGAGACACAGAACAGTAATTACAAAGTTGGGTTGTCTGGAGACAATGGCAGGGACTCATGGGATAGGCATTAGTTTATTTAATGTCTGTGAGGTAGATAGACCAGGTGGTAGAATATCTATTTTACCAATGGGATACCTGTCCTCTTATCAAAGCCTCTGGCAACCAGAGCAATTCAGGCTATTAAACAATTCATGCATGAGTCAACCAATGGCCTCCTGATTCGTTCCCACCTTCCTACTCTCCTCCCTCCCCATCTGCCACCATTTCATCCTGTTTCCCCATCTACTTGGCCTCACCTGTAGGGTACCTGACGGACAGAGACCTCCTTGCGTTTCTTTCCCGGTGCCGCGCTGGCTTGAAAGAACACGGTGTCATCATCCTGAAGGACAATGTGGCTCGGGAGGGCTGTGTCTTCGATCTCTCGGACAGTAGTGTGACTCGGGACATGGACATCCTCTGGAGCCTCATTAGGAAGAGCGGGCTGGTGGTGCTGGGCCAGAAGAAGCAAGATGGCTTTCCAGAGCAGTGCATCCCGGTGTGGATGTTCGCCCTGCACAGTGATGGACATTCCTGACCAGAGGTGGGAATGGGTAGCTTTGGGACAGAAGTGCTCTCCTCATAATTCATGGGGGGTGGGGGTGGGGATGGAGAAAAGGGATGCAGTGCATGTCTGGAAATGATCGATGTAGTATTTACAAGTTTCCATGAATTGTATAAGTATATGCACACACTCGGTGGATTTTCTGGAAGATAAATGGAGCGAAACATCAGGAAAAACGTTTTAAGAGACTGCTGTATACACCTAAGCTGTGCGAGATACATGCTAGATACATTCTATTTCCTCTTCTCCTTTGGGGCTACTACTTCTCTTAGACAAAAAGCTCACCTGAATTAAGAAAGGCACAAGTCGAAATAATCTTATGGAAACAAACCTATGTATTAATATTTTCCTTGGCTTTTCTCTTCACAGAGAAAGCATACATAGTTTCACTTTCTATTTTGGGTCAGCTTTACCACTCAGTGATGTAATGTGGATGTAACTTGATAACAGAAGCCTGCATTTCAGTGATGAGGAAGTGTCTCCTTTCAGGAGAAAACATTGTACCATTGACCTTTCAGCTGTGAACAGATAAGTAAATGTCATTGATAATCTAATTTTAGCCACTGGCCTCTGACACCACTTGCTTCATTGCAGCTGCTCCTTTTCTTTCATTGATATGAGTGTATCTTGGGAAGAGCAGGAAAATGATAAACCTGAAAACTGAACTAATGGGATTAATTTAAGGCATTGGTTTAATTAAAAATAATCTAAAATCATTCAAGCACAAAATTCAATTTAATTTATATTAGCAGAGTGTTAAACTATCACTGCTACCGTCTTTTAAGCACTCCAATATCTTCATGTTGAAGCATATATTTGTATATTGATATATATTGAGTCTTGTGTGAAATGTGACATATCAATTTAATGAAAGAAGGTCTACTGCATGGATATGCTATAATTGTAAAAATCATATTTGTAAGTCAGAGTTCTAACTTAGGAGGAAAACAATCCTTATGAAACATTTGCTACCTTATTATAGGATTACCTTGGTAGTTTTATTTATGTCTTAGAAAGTGAATTACTTTGCCTCTGGCATCTTCTAACTGTTACTAGGGTAAAATAACAGATTGTCAGTTAGAACCATTGGAGAACAAGCCCAAGTCTAGAACTAAATTAAATGGTGAACCATTGTCAAACAGACCAAGGATGGCAAAACAAGGGCATTCACTTTTAATCCTCTGTGCCTTGGGGCATATTAGCCAAATAATTTGTTTAGTCCCATGCCAGAAAATTTTTGTTTCTTTTATACTGGCACCCTTAATTTTCTTATCTTTTGGCTTTCTGCTTTGCCAATGCTCCAATGGTAATTGACAAGTTATCAATATTCTCTACCCCTGAGTTCTCGAGCTTTGGAGGAAAAAACATGGAAATAATATGGAAATAATGTGGATGTGGAAATTTGCTGTTTAACTTAGATGAGTCTTGGAGATTGACCAGCATTCCCTTTCTCTTCCTAAGTCAAGTCACTTTCCAATTCTTTTCAGACAGTTTTTTTTAAAGTTTATTTATTTTTGAGAGAGAGAGAGGGAGGGAGAGAGAGAGAGAGAGGGAGAGAGAGACAGAGCACAAATGAGGGAAGGAGACAGGGACAGAAGGAGACACAGAATCTGAAGCAGGCTCCAGGCTCTGAACTGTCAGCACAGAACCCGTTATGGGGCTCAAACTCACCAACCGTAAGAGCATGACCTGAGCTGGAGTCAGATGCTCAACTGACTTTGCTACCCAGGCGCCCCCTTTTCAGACAGTTTTCAGATCTTAACTGATTTACACAATTTCTCAACTCCATATCTACCCTTAGTTTAATTGAAAAAGTAGAAGTTGGGGTATAAATTGCATCAATATCCACCCCCCCCCCCCGACACACACACTGCAAATAACAAGTACAAGGTACAGGGAAGAGTGGCTGGAGAGGAGAGACCATTGGAGCCAGACTATGCTGCCTTATAGGTCATGTTAAGGTTTGGACATGTTATTCAAACAACAAGGGAAAGTTCTGGAGGGTTTAAGTAAGGCATTGATTTTCCTAGTCCTGGGAGTAGAGGTGTAGATCATGTAAAAGGAAGATATGAGTAGAGTGCCAGGCATGTTTAATCTAATGCAACAAGCCAAACACACTGATGATGTCCGTCGACATATCTGTGTTGTGGTGCAAGTAGCAGTGTCTGTTAGTCCCCTTATTCTGTTCATAGTCCAGCTGCCTCAGGAATCACGTGGTAAGCTTTTACAAAATAGAGATTGACAGGCTCTGTTCCCATGAGGATTCAGTTCTATAAAGTGGGCTCAGACAATCTTTATTTTTATAAAGTCTTAAACTCATTCTGATCATTAGTTTTGGTTGAGAATATTGGTGGGGAAAGAGGTGTGGAGTTGAGGTGTTCAGAAACACAGAAAGCTCAGAGGAGGCCTGAGTGTGGGCCAGTTTCAGGGAAATCGCTAGAGAGTGCAATCCATTCTCCACACTGATGCCAGTCTTTCTGAAATATAAATTTGACCATGTCATGTATAAGCTTTCAATGACTTCCCATCACTGATAGCATGAATCCTCATCTCCCTAGAATGACATATAAAGCGTTTGTTGATCTAGCCCTGCCTTCCCTCTGCAGCCTCAGATTTTCCACGTCCCCTGCAGTTGTACTTAAATACTTGAGTTCCCTAAAGTTGGTATGATTTATAGTTCACGGCACTTAGAGCTATTACTTCCTTAGTATAGAACATCTCTCTTTTTCATCTGGCACAGACTGTTTAGATGTTGCTGACTCTAGGAGAGCTTCCCTCCGCTGCTAGGTGCCGGGTTATGTGCCCTCACTCTGTGCTACCCTCATCCTCCCTGCTTCCCATATCACAGCTCTAATCATGTGGCATTGTAATCAAGGATACTTGCTATTTCCTCTGTTAAATTCTGAGCTCTTTCATGGAGGATTCATGGTTAGCGTCTCATTCACAGGCGTAAGTCCGAGGACAGCTGAAACTCAAGCTTTTGTTGAAAGTATAAAAGGTGATGTTACAAGTAAAAAGACTCAGGGGAAGTCTAAGTTTCTGGCTTCGAACATAAATCAGAGCAAAGCAGCAGGAAAAACAACAAGGGTTTCTGCAGTTGTATGAGTACTGGGTTGTGCAAGACTTGGTCAAAACAGTGATCAAACAATGCAAGCTCACCAGGACCAGGAAATGCACAGAAACAAGAAGGCAGCAACTTCAAGGAGGAGACTGTAGCAAGAAAATTGGGTTCTGAGGTGAAATTCTACCTAATTAGGAAATCTCTCTTTTTTTTTTTTTTAAATAGGAGCCAACCCAAGGGCATGGCCAACCCAAAGCCCATCATTTTATCAGGTGAGAGGGTGGATTTCATCAAGAGATCTATTAAAATTGTGGGCAGGTCGTAACAAAGCAACTCCTAGTTCTCACCCATTTCCTGCTAAGCAACCAGTACCAAGAAACAAACTAGGTTATAGATGAAGTTAATCCTTCTGTGAACATCGAATACAAGTGGAAAGAGCTCACCTGCGCTTCACAGATGAATTAATTGCAAGCATGCCTGCAATTCTAGATGAACTTTGGAGGACCCCTTGGTTTATACAATGATTCATAAATGGGTGCAGTCTTCACCTTCCTCTTCTTCCAAGAACCTGAGCCATTCCACTCCTAAGCACCAGCATAGGAGCACGCCGAGTCTTAAAGTGTCAGCAATCTTAAGATTTGGGACCGTCATAAAAATATAAACCAAAACGAATAAGGTCATCCACATGAAAGATGATCTGCTTTGTATTATGGACACATTTTGGCCTGATCCTTTTTTTTTCCTCTCTCTCCCATTTCCTGAAACTGGCCTGTTTTGAGTGATGTATTAGGGAGAAGACCTGTGTCAGATATATTCGGCTGCCTGTCATGAATAATTAAAACCAGTTGTGTTGTGCTTTCCTTAGTTCCAGCTGACTCTTTGATGCTTTGGTGTCGATGCCAGAAAACTACCTCTTAGAATCATCAGAGGCCCATGTTTTTGCAGAAGTCACTGCGAGCTAATTAAGCAAATATGTGAAAAATAATTTTAAATGATCTCAATTAGTAGAGTGTGTGTATAGATGTATCACGCATGGGGTTTGAGGAGAGACCTTTAAAATAATAACTGACTTATGAAGTTAGTGATTTGGTGACAGAGAACCACGCATACATGACACCTCTGTAGGTTCATTAAGTTGGCATGATCTGACTTTTTGCTACATGACAGGCAACTAAACATCTAGCAAGTGGCCAAGAAGATCATGGTTCTGTAATGGGAAAGACAGATCCCTACATAGCAATGAATCAGGACAAAAAAGACTACAAGAATAACATGGAAAAAGAATTAAAGTAATATAGAGACCTGAGTGACCCACTACATGTCTGGGATTTGAGGGATGCCACACAGAGTCTATTCATCCAACATTTTTGGAATGCCTCTTCTATCTCATCCATGGTTCTAGCGTCTCAAGATACACCAGGGAATAAAATCCAAAGTTCCCTGGCCTTATGAAGCATGGATTCTAGGAAGGTTAAGGATGCAGTAATATAAATTGGTAAATTATTATTGATGTTAGAAAGTGGTAAGTTTTGGAGGAAAAAAAGGGAAAAATAGAGAAGAAGAAGGGGGCTTGAGAGTCATGGAGGAAGGCTGTAATTTCAAATAGTGGCCAGCATTGGCTTCCTTGATGAGGTGACATTTGAGCAGAGAAGTGAAGAGTCTAACGACAGGGGCCATGTGGATATGTGGGGGGAGAGAGGACAACCAGTGCAGATGCCCCAAATCTTGAGTATGCCTGCTCTCTTTGAGGAGCAACATGGAGGTCAGGGCAGCTGCAGCAGGGTGGATGAAGGAGAGAGTGCAGTGGGTACGAGATTTAGGGATAGGACCATGGCCAGATCATGTAGGGGCTTGAAGATTATGGAAGGGGTTTTTACTTTGATCCGGAAGGAGAACCATTGCAGAGTTTTGA